TCGAGATTCACTAATCGAAAAAAAAAAAAATGAATAAAAGATCATATCGCGAAAGCTAAGCGCACACGAACGACCAACGATCGCAATGATCGTTCTCCGTGCACGTGCACAATCTCGAGCGCAACGTTCGTTTCGAATTTTATTCCGCGACCGCGGCCACGAAACTCGAAAGATCGATCGGCGAAGCCGAGGAATAAACGCGAGCCATCGTTCCTTCCTCCCAACTTCCTCCCTCGATTTTTCAAATTTGATTTCCTGAAACAGATTGCCACGCGAGAACGCGCCTACCCGATCCGAGAGACTGTGACAACCTGCCCGGCCCTACCTACTTATAATTAATACACACACACACACCAGAAGTATACTACCTATCCTACCTAGTCCTATAATTTAAAAAAAAAATGGCAAAAAACAGGCGCACCAACACACTCGCTCCACGATTCTCACGCATAACGCTCGGGCGCAAAAAAAGCCTGCACTAGGGAAAGCGTCCCGGGACCCCCTCCGACACCCGAGCTTGCCACACTCGCACACTCTAAGTTTACGTACCATTTTCCTGAAATCGACCAACGATGGCTAGTGACCTTTGCGTGATATGCGATAGACAAGCGTGTATCTTTAATTTTAAGAAAACTTATTTATTATACGAAAGAATAAAACAATTTAATTAAAAAAATTTGATGATATGTTGTTGTAATTTGAAAATAAGAATTGTATTATCGCGTACAAATCGTATTATGGAATGTAATATACGAACGAAACGACGCAATTCCACGGTCTAACCATACGCACACAATGCGGAAAATACGTCGTGCACGATACACTAACGCATCGTCAGTCGCTGAGAAATTGTTATTGAGCTAAGGTCATCGTGCCCATCGCCTTTCTCTCACTCAAGTAGCACCTGGGCACGTGAGCGAGATCCTGACAATATGAACACGGAAAGGATTAAACCTGAAAATCCTAAGCTAAAAAGATAGATTAATATAAATATTTTGTGTCTAACGGGCTAATGAATGTATTCTATATTCTCATCTTATCTGAAGTATCTCTTTGCACTTTATAACTTTACTCGATGCGATGAATTATTTAAATTTTAATCTTTTATAAAAACAATTAAATGGAACATATCTATCAAAAAAATTAAAATGTAATAAAATAATTGACTCAAATTTAAATTTTAATACGAATGAAAATATCCTCAGGTGATTCCTTCATCAAAGCATATTTTCGAAAATATGGAAAAAGCATTTTAAAATTGTAGCTTTGATTTCAAAATCTACCTGTCGCGAAGTGTCTTCTTGTATATAAAATTTAATATTGTTTCGAACGAGAGAAAAACTATTAATTTTTATTATCTAGAAAATCAAATAACTAAATCAATTAAAATATTACTATAAAAAATGAGATTAAGAATAATTTGTTATTTATCCGAATATTCGTGTCTAATTTTGTATATGAATATTCATATATTTAAATATTGTACATTTACAAATATATCTATATTGAATAGAATATTACAATGATTTAACTTTATATGATTAATTCTGAAAATTACTAATATTTAAAAGCGCGATGTACAAGAAGACCTAGCCTGTACTAAAAAATAAATCATACAAAAAAGTATTACTATACATGAGTATGATAAATACCCACGGTCACTGTGCTCGTGCAAAATTCTACGTATACAACCAGTCACTCGTGTCGATTTGAACCTTTCATTCTACGACATGATTAAGTAACCGGAGGAATCAAAATGCATGCGACTCACCATTAAATGTGAAGATACTGTCGTCGATATTAACCCATGTAAACTCATCAAAGTTGCCATCAAATAAGAGAAAACTGTAATAAAAAATGAAACATTATAATTTAAAACAAAGTGCATGTAATGATTATTAAATTGAAATAAAAAAAGTAATTACCTTTTCGCGTGATGAATGATTGCTTTATCCTCTTGAAGCACTAACTTTAATATATATATACACTTTAATATACAATATACAATTCTATGTAATATATATACAAGAATATTTAAATTGAGGAAAAAAAAATAAAAAAATATCAAATCGAGACCGTTTAAATTATAATTGGCGAACAAACTGACTCTAATTTCACGAGTGATTATATAATTATAATTACATTAGAACAGCTGTGTTCTAAAAAATACATAAATTATTATTACGAAGCAAACACTGACTCTACTAACCACATTGCACGCGGTTACAAATATTATCTGAAAATAAAAAATGAGATGATAAAAAAGAAGGAAAATTAAGATTTTTTTATTTTTTAATCAAACGTTTGTTCGAAAAAAGTTATTTTTCATTTCACAAAAATATATTAAAAATTGATTTAATCTGAGATAAAAAAAAAAAATTTAATAAAAATAGTTTAATATTTTTTAATATGCAATTTGTTTAATTTCTTCTATTTTCATTCTACTACAATGTATTATGATAAATGATTATGAATTACTTAATAATAAATAAAAATAAAATATACTTATTTCTGTTAACAAAATAAACGTTACCATTCTATTACGAGGAATCGCCATTAGACTGATCATTGTGTCAAATGTTCATTGCGGCGTCCATATTGGAATCCTATTTTCCCGCCTTATTCTATCACTCAATTTATACAAAAGATGATCTTTAAATTTTATCTTAAAACCTTGAAAAATAATATATAAAATTAAAATTGATTGTATTAAATCAAAGCCATAACTAAACTCAAATTTTATTTTCGAATATAATAAATTCGAAATAATACAAACTATCTATAACTTTAACAATCATAGATTAATAAATAAAAAAGAATAAATTATTTTCTAAAAGATTATTATTTATAATAATATTTAATGAATAATTAATTGATCGCGTAACAGTAATACAAAAAGTACAAAAATAATTATGGAAATAATGTATTATAAATTACATACCTGATCGAATCGTCGAGATGTCACAATTTTCAACCGCAAAATGACAGCCTGCGCCTCAATCGCTATAATATAACAAATTGGGGAAGGGATATGCTCGGCGACAAGTCGAAACATGTCGAAATATGTCGACATATACGAACATAAACCGCCAATTTTCTCGAAAATCTGTGATAAGAAATATTTTCAAACTTGAGCATGATATCAAAACAAATATAGAAATATACGAAACGTTTACAACTAAACGTTTAAGCAAAATATAAAAACAAAAACATCGATACATTAACGTTAACGTAATATATACATTAAAGAATATATGAAATATATATGAAATAAAATTAATTATAACAATTTGACTACTTTCATTTACGAATAAATAGAAATATAAATAAAATTTAGATACTAGTAATTTAGTAACTAGAATTTTTTAAATAAATAAAATCTTACCACACTTGTACGTCGTAAATATATCTCTCTATATATCCTGTGTCATAACCTATAGTTTAGAAGTCAGATCGATGATCAAACGATAACCTGCACAAATAGAAATCAAAATCATAAAAAAAATGTATAAAATTAAGATAATATTAATGTAATAATTAGAGTCAAATCTAAAATTTATGACACAAACACCGGTAGTAATCGTAACTACTAAATAGATGAAAATATAGAAAACAATGAAAAAAGTGCAAAAAATTAATTAATTCTAGTATAATAATGCTTAATAAATGATTAAACGAACTGTTATTAATTACAAAAGTAAGAATTTATAAATCATACCTCAGATATCAATACGCAGAAATTCCACATACCGGTATAACACATCCTCACTCTATCACTTTCAACAGCAGACTGACGCCATCCACTCTGATTCGTTTAACCGCTGGGCCTTAGAACTTATCTGATTGGCTGGAGCTATATGCTTCCTCATCTTGAAACCGCGCGAAAATTGAAATATTGTATAATATAAATTATGAATCTATGTATTTAAAATTGAAAAAATAATACACCGATTATAATAATAAAAATAAATTATTAAAATTAATTTAATATAAAAATTAATGAAATTAGAAAAAATTAAAACATAATAAAGAAATTTAATAAATATATTTTTATAAATATAAATTTACATTTCTTTTAATTTTTGAATTTAATAATTTTAATTCTTATGATTCGCTATGATTTAATTACAATTTCTTTTATTCTAATAGCGTTATTGTCTTATTCCATTTCGATAATCGATAATATCGCATGTGCATGGTAACAATAACTTACAATATAATCTTTGAATTAATTCAAACATATATTGAAGATAAGTCTTTTCTATATCTCGTGTTATAAATTTATTGCGTTATAATTTTTTTTATAACATTTTTTCAAAGGAAATCAATTACTGGTAAGGTAGAAAATTAATAATTCATTAATCTACATTCGGCAATTAATCAATCGACAATAATACTTTACAGAGGAATAAATACCATAAAATATATAGAAAAAAATTAACTTTCAGATCCATCTATAATTTGATGAAAAAGATCTTCATTATTATATTTAAAGTAAACTTTAAAAGATTATATGTATTAATCATATTTTTCTTTTAAATATTTCATTAAATATATTATTCATTCTTCAATGTTTACAATTAAAACAATTTTTTGCATTTTAATGAAAAGATTATATCATAGAAAAAAAAATATGCATCTAAGATACACATTATCAATCCTAATTAAATAGTCAGAAACGTCGTTACCCTCGTATACCAAGATATCTATAACTGTATGAGTGTTGAAGAAATATATATCCAAACATCATAAAATATACGATCTAAGAAACGACTCTCACCCGAGACAGTCGTGGTTTTACCTTGGTAGATCGCACACGCGTTTCTCTCTGACCATACCAATATCGAAATTTCTTGTGTAAGAAACAAAAAGTTTATAATTTATAATTATACATGTATAATTTTTCATATTTAATATATTTATATTTTATTTTTAATGTAATTCACACATAATATTAAAAAAATCTCTTCAGATAATAAAATAAAACAATTCATTCGGTATATTTCTTCTATGACAATTACACTGTTTCATTTCTTCACTCGACTTATTAACTGTCGATTGTATTATCAAATAAATAGATTAATCGATGCATGTTTAACTCGTATAGCTATTTTGTAACGATAATATCCACGATAATAGCTACAATCGATGAATTTAATAATATTTTCTGAAACATAAATAATTGATTAATAATTTTCGAGATAAAAAAATAATGATTGTAAAAAAACTTTATTTGTTATTATCGATTTCGAATAAAATTTTTATCATTATATATCTTTTTCTATATAATATTTCTATCTAAATAATGTTTCTTTACATTATGTGAACAGGTAAATACTGACATTGTACGTTTTAAGTAGACAATTTTTTCGCTCTCTTACAAATGACACAATATCGAAGAATCCTAATTTTTTGCTTGAGCTGTATATGCTTTTTTGAGTATGTCGCAACTGATGAGCTGATAGTAAAAATAAAAAATGGTACTTTATCGGGTTTGACTTTGAAAACTAGAAAAGGTAGAGAAATTGCCGCCTTTCGGGGTATACCATATGCGCTTCCACCTCTTGAAAAATTAAGATTTGAGGTAAGTTTGTAATATATTTTTATAATCAAAAATTTTTATTAAGTTTAATAATATAGAAAAACATATGTATATGCAAATTATATATATAATATAAAAACAAATATAAATTTTTTAACAAATAATCATCCGATAAAATTAAAAATTATTACAAAATGATTGTAGAAGAAAAGTTAAGGATAAATTTAAGAAGTTTTCTAGGCACGTGTATTTTTGCATACATTATATTACATCAAATTATATAAAAGATTTCTAATATCACCATTTTTTCCTTGTCAATGATTCCGTAAAATTCATTGTAAGAAATATAAATTATTCATTTTATGATTTAGAAAAGCAATTATAGAAATAGTTAGAATTAATTATATTTCAATTTTGTATATTTCAAATTATGTTATAAAGAAATCCATTTGTTTTTAAATTTTCATGATTAAGATACAGAATTCTTAAAATTCGACTTCCACATATTAAATGCAAATTAATGCAGGTCAAATAAATTATTCCATTTTTTTTACCTAGAAATAGAAACCTGTTTTTATAAATGATACAACTTTATATTAGATTATGAAACATCAGATGAATATATCAAACAACTTCTGGTGAACGTATTTCATACGTTTCTAATAACTTCAGTCTTTTTTCTATAAAGTAATAATTTTTGTTTAAAATATTGATCACTTAAACTTACCATTTATGTAGCATATATTCATATATCATGATTTATATTGATTAATAATTATATAGTATATATATATAGTCATGTCCATTTTTCATTTTTTCAATCACATAATCAAAAAGACTTAATAATTGAAAAATATATCAATTAATAAATTAAAAATTTGTATTATTTATTTATAGCCACCGAAACCAGCAACAGCCTGGAATGGTGTGCGATCAGCTAAAGAAGACGCCGACATATGCACACAAAGGAACATATACACTAATCAAGAAGAGATCGTTGGTGATGAGGATTGCCTCTATTTGAATGTCTACACGCCAAAATTACCTACTAAGAATGATAAATTAAAGGGAGGATATCCGGTTATGATTTGGTTTCATGGCTGTGGATGGATTTGTGGTGCTGGTCATTCGGAATTTTATAATCCCAAATTTTTATTAGACCATGATCTAATTCTCGTGACAGTAAATTACAGGTTAGAAATTTTCATGTTTAATTAAAAAAATAAGACAAAGAAAATTATTTACCATTATTTTTCATTTTCAGACTCGGACCTTTGGGATTTTTGAGTACGGAAGACACTGTATGTCCTGGAAATAATGGATTGAAGGATCAAGTTTTGTCCCTTCGTTGGGTACACGAAAATATCGCTGCTTTTGGTGGTGATCCAAACAGAGTGACCATCTTCGGAGAGAGCGCCGGTGGCGCTAGTGTGCATTATCATATGATAAGTAATTTGACAAAAGGTAAGTAATTTTTAACTAATGAATTATATAAATAAATATTTTTATCGAGATATGAATTTTATATTATATTATATGGATTCGGTCTTTTTAAAAATTAATATTATAAATAATTATTTCGTGCTATAAAATTTAATGAACAAAATAAAAATAAAATAAAAAATTTGGTTTAATAAATTGTGCAGTTTAATTATTCAGAAAAAAAAAATCATTAGAAAAAAGAATAAAAACGATCGTTTTGATAAAATTCAAACAGAATGTACAAAAGTTTAAAATTGGTTCTAGATCATTGTTACTACAAACAGATAAAAATAATTGATGATTTTCAAAAATTATATGGTAGTAATAAAACGCCTTTGACGTTTAAAATTATGCAATAAAAAATGTACAATAATTGAAAATGACTAAAGCATTTTTTAATGTTTTTATGTTTTATGTTTTTTTAATGTTTTTATTCCACGTTATTTTTTTGTATATTAGAAGTAATTGTTTGAAATTGAACAAAATTTCATAAGAAATTCAATCAATCAAGCATAAAACGATAAAAATATTCGCATATCATTCCCAGAAACGTTTTGAATTCAAAATTATTATATCGAGAGAAAACGTAGTCTGTAAATGACACTCAAGGTTGAGACTGAAGAAATGATAGAAAAAAAATCCTACTTATGAATCCTAGAATAATCTCATAATCTATGAAATCTTAGTTGATTACGTAATACGTTTCATAGTTACATACAAATTAAAACAGGACTTATCCACCAAGCGATCTCTCAAAGTGGTAATGGCTATTGTTTATGGACTTTAACAAGACCAGGTTTAGCGAAAAAAAAGGCCATGAAGGTTGCTGAACTTCTGGATTGTCCTTCGAAAGATTCAAAACAGCTTGTCGATTGTCTGCGGAAGAAGAAAGCCACTGACATCATCGCGACAGATCGCGCTTTTCAAGTAAGTTCATTTATCCTTTATCAATTATCTTTTTCCTTGTTACTTTTGATTACAAAATTTCAAATATAACAAGTATTATTCTTATCGTTATTTTATATCGGTATAGAATAATATAAAGAATATAGAAGATTAAAAATATTATATTTGAACCCGTTATTAATACACGCAGATCATTAATACATCTTTGAAAAAGTATTAAAAATTAAAACTATTTAAAATGTTTTTAATTCATTCTTCTAAAAAAACATTTCAGATCGAGATCTTTGATTATTAAGATAAGAAATAAAAATCGAGTCACGAAAGAATTCAAGAAAGAAACTTAAAGAAATACGATTTATATGTAATTATAATTTATCTTTCACGATCAATCACCTTTCAATATTTGATTTGGTTATAATTATCGTCTAATCGTATAATCGATATATTATGATGCTCGTTTATTTATATTTTCATTATATTTTGCGGTATGCAGCTCTATCAATTATCTTATTCATTCGAGGTTGCAAATAATTGTTTGATAATAATTGTTTGATAATCGTTTTTAATAACACTTAATTTCCATTCATGCATTAAACATATGAACTGATAATATTGAAAGATATTATATTATCTACTATACTCTTCATTTATTATTTAACTAATAATTATATTTTGTCTAATGATAAATTTTTTAAAAATCAAGAAATGTTAAAAAATTAATGAAATCATCGTTAATCATTTTTTCCAGTTTTTATTTTCAATGTTATCGGAAATATATATCTAATGGAATCTAGATTAACGAGTCTAAATATCATATATATTGTTCCTCTGTTATTTAACACACATCTTTACTTTGATATTGAATAATCTATTCTATGATCATGTTTGTAAATTAATTCTTATATAAGTATCTTGATAATTGGAACGAATAATAAGAGTCATAATAGTATATGATTTCATAATGTATAACAGTGTATTATTATAGAAATGTCATATTTCTTTTTTTTTTTATTAGTTGTTCAGATGTTTTCAGAGTCTTGAATGAAGGCAAATAAATTTAATACTTTCAGCTAAGCACGGATTAGACACGACAGAATTATTGGTATTACTAAATATAATAAAAGATTTAGTTACAATAATATGCATACTTGTATCTACTATCACTTTACAATATCATTACAATTTTTTATTTTTTTGTAAAATTAAAAATAAAATTGTATCATCCTTTGTATTATTTGTGAAAACAATAATTAATGTAACAATATGTTTGGAAAAAGATTCTTTTCGATCAGATTTATCTGGAATTTTATATTAGAATAACATGTTGTTTATGCATAATTAAAAGGTCCAACTTCTAGAAAAACCTGTTTCACGCATTCGTGAATATATTATATCTATTCGTGCGTGAATTTCACGATTCCAACGAAAATCCAATATTCTAACAAAATCTTATCGATTAAATGTGCGTGTTTATTGCGGTGTAAATGGAAAGTAAAGAATTTCCGCCATAGAATGGAAACAGTTTCAGAGCAAAAAAGTGTGTCATGTCACGATTGGAAGAGAAAGTAGACGAATAAAACGATAAATCGACTACATTGTATCAAAGAATTTCTATCTTTGCTTAGATGCAAGTGTTGAATGTATTTGGAAATCGAATAATTGAAACTTTGAAACTGAAAAAAATATGATTTCTCTTTCCTTAAGGATAATAATTTTTTCATATATACGATGAAAAAAACTTAGCTTGAAACTAAATTAAATTTTTTGCTCTATATATATTAGATATTTGGTTATTGCCCAATGATACCCTTTAGACCGGTAATTGAACCTGTTCATCCTGGTGCTTTTTTAACCGAAGATCCAGTAATTTCTTCGAAACATGGCCGCCTGTTAGATATACCATGGATGACAGGAATTACATCCGAAGAAGGTTCCCTCGTAGCACCAGGTATCTAAAATTAAAAGCACGATTAATTTCTCAGTTACATGTTTCACTCTTACATTTATCATTATTATTTTTCTTCTATATAAAATTTAATTTTATCATTACCGATATGAATCACTATATTAATTACAAATCTCTTTTCTTGTCAGCATTATATGGAAGAAACAACGGAGATTTGATTAAAAAATTGAACAAAGATTTCTTAAATATCGCTCCAATAACGTTATTATACGGGGATACATGCTCCAAAGATGAACAGAAACGGGTGGCTTCCGAAATACGGAAATTCTATTTCGACGATGGCCCGATTGATAATTCAACGCGATTCAAAGTGATCGATGTGAGTTCACACATTCGTTGAAAGAAATTAAAATTTTATATTGTATTGTTGCTATTGCTCTCTTTTACATTCGTTGACCGGGATCGTTGACGCATGGAAGTAAGTACTTATATATACATTTTCCCTTTGCGTGTCGAAGGACATTGATCACGTTTTGATTTGAAATAAGATAGAAGTAATAGCGGTAGACTGCAGACTATTCAACTATACACCGTGATTCAATTTCCATTTTAACAAAAGTAATCGTACAATGTCTTGTAGATGTACAGCGACGCCTGGTTCAATCATGCAGCTTACACTTCTGTGCGTAATTATCTCGCGAAACAATCCTCTCCCGTGTATTATTATTATCTCGCATACAAAGGGAGCGCATCGTTCAGTATGATATTTGGCGATCCTCACAACGATTACGGGGTATCGCACGCGGATGAACTTCAATATTTGTTCCCTGTCGGTGAACAATTGTTCAAGAACATTTCACTGAGCAAGCAAGATCACAAAATGGTGGATATTATCACGAGTCTTTGGTACAACTTTGCAAAATCCGGGTGAGTTGAACTGAAACTATCGTTGAAAATTGTGTTGTGAGATCGTTGGTGTTCGTTCACCAAAACGAACGATTTTCATTTTCAGCAATCCTACACCCGAAGTGTCACAAGATATACCCGTTAAATGGAAACCCGTGAGAACTCAGGCCCTAGAATATCTTCACATAGGACAAGATAACATTAGAATGTCGGAAAATCTTATCTCAGAGAGAATGAAATTTTGGGAAAGTTTACCGATACGATCGGATTTGGATGATAGCGGGTCAAAATATCATGGAAAAGACGAATTATAAGAAAATGTAAAAAAAAAAAAAACTGCGTTACGACTGTCATGCGTGAAAATCAGAAAATTCAATTCGCACAGAACAGTGGATAAATGGTGTCTCCCCGATTATTATATGTTAACTTTGTGAATTTTAATTTAAAGAAGAAAAAAAAAGAAAAAAAAAAAAACAAAAGTATACGAATGATATGATTCAGATCCATGAAAAAAATCCGTGAAATATTCATACGAAATTATGCTATTAACAATCGCATTCGAACATGTATATGTATAAATGTATATATATATATTCATAATCGCATGATTGCATCACATGAGAATTTTTTAAGAAAAAAAGAAACAGTCGATATTGTTCATTTTTTACTCTGTAATCTTAGTATGTTTATAGTTGAAAGGATTATATTTCCATATCTTCACTGAAGCATTGTTTGCCAGCACATTCGATCGCGAAATGTAAATGATATCTATAAAAACGTCAAGATAAAAAAAGGAAAAAAAAAAAAAAAATTAACGTTATGTATATTAGACGAATTTAAATAATATAAACATGCATACCTGTATATATTTCTATTTTTAATATACCACATGTATTCTCTTTTTCTTTTTTTTTTGTAAGTCGATCTTTTCTTTTAATTCCGTCTTAATTTTTTCCTCGGATATTGCTCTCGTTTCTAAGATATGAGCCGATAATTTTAAGAATGGTATTATTTTTAACATCATGTGAGCTATGGAATAATTTTCCGGATAACAACTTTCAAAAATTTCGAATTTAACATTCTGCAAGGATAAGTTCTCATACGGTAATTCATCAATTAGATCAAAATTCAATCTTTTAGCTGTAAACATCAGAGTTATACGGATTATTTATAAAACGACACGAACATCGTCAATCACATCTTAAATGATAAATCTTGATCGATAATAAATATGAAAGATAAAAAGAAATATACCGATCGTTTGAGAAGCACTCGAAGTGAATTGACCGAAAACAATGGACGTAAAATTACTCACTCGAGTAATGCAAGAGCGAAGTAATGCGGTACCAACGCCAAGCCTCTGATGATCAGGCTTTACACAAATGATATCAATGTGAACAGATTTGTTCATATATATCGATTCTATGAATCGAGATCTGGCAAAAGCGTAGTTTTTCAACCTCATCACGTGGAACAGTGTATCTCCTTGCTGTAAATGGAAGATTATCGTTAATTTTTCTTCTTTTTCTTTTTTTTTTCGAATTAATAAATTTAGCAAAGAATCGTAAATAATAGAATCTAAATTTGGGAAATAAGATTATAAAAGATTTTTTTTTATTCGATGGTGTGAAATTTTTGATATCATATACATATGCATACATACCCCTTTCTTATTATCCAATTAAATTTTTTGAATAAAGAAGCAATAAGAACACCGACGATTTCGTTGCTTCCTTCCCTAATTGCACAGAAACCGATCATGCCTTCCATCTGTTTGAAAATCATGTTCATGAACGTCTTCATAGACGTTGCATCCTCGCACATTTGAATACTTTTGAACAATGGTTCCGAATCGGAGTAGTAAGCCTGAAACATGTTTAATTTCAATATATTTGTCAATTTGAATAATCGCGAATAATACCTTTGGAATGCTCCCTCAAATATTTTACAATAATTAAAACATAATTATTTCTGTCTATGATAGCGAATAGAATTTAAATGATTGGATATGGAAATTTATAGATATTCTAAAAATATCTAAATAATATCTATCATCTTTTAAACTGTAATAAACTGTATTTCGGTCAGCGATGTACTAGTACAAAATGCAACGCCTGCATAAATTTGTTTAACTGGAGATCAATGATTCTGTAACCGTTCGACATTCTTTCCCACACTATAGGCGCATCCCCATTGATTATATCTTCATGTGGTCGTGTCTTCTTTATCGCTGCAACACGAAGACTTAAAGCAAAAAAATCGCTATCCTTGATGGAACTTCGTCTGCGAGTCCATTTGTTTTTGAACATGTTTCAGAAAATTGCGTTAACACGTTTATATATCCTGTAATTTAGAAATTTGTCCAATTTCAACCAATAATTTACGTATACAATTTTATAATGCAACACTTTTCAAATTTTCGGATCTTAACTTTGAAGTTGTTTTCCCATCAAAATCGATTAAGCTCGATTAAGAAATTTTCTGTTTTCTCACAGACATATTCACAGAATTTACCTGAGATGTTATAAAATTTTTCCGTTATTATAAAAAAAAAAATATCATGTTTTTAGCATTTTTAACGACTCGTAAATCATTTCTTATGCCTAATCCTTAAAACGTTCGAGATGGATATGTCGATCGACGACAGAGATGAATACGCGTTAGAGGCGGAGGCACGACTCAAGGCTCCCCTCGAATGGGAATCAACGGCCAAATACAAAATAATAGACCTAAAGGAGTCACAGTACGACGAAGCTTTACGTCTGATCAAAGTTTAGCCACGAAATCGCGAAATAACGTCGTGCAAACATTTCTTCGACTAACTTTTTCCAACTATTTTTTTTTTTTTTTTTTTACTAACGCTTCTAATTCTATTCGACGAAATGTCGTAGACGTATTGTAAAACGAACATTTCTAAATTTCCACAGCATCACTTTTTCCGCGAGGAGCCTATGTGCAAAGCGTCCTCGTTGCTCGATGATCCAACGTCCGTGAACGATTATCTGGAATTTATAAGAACGTGGATGAACGACACAACGAGCATAGTCGCCCTTAGTATTAAATCTGGTCGCGTTATCGGAGTTGCTGTCACGAGAGTCAACAGCAAGCCCGAGAAAACGGATACTTATCAGCGTGTTCAGGTACTATTGCGATCGATACATCGATACATTGATCGTTTGTTGAAACGCGTTGCTTTCAGCACGAGAGCAGAAGCTAAATTTATTAGCTTATTAGATAAATAAAAATGATCGTAGATCGGCAAGTATAAATAGATTGTAACACGTACGAGTTCTTTTAGGTGTTAAAAGGAGAAACTCTACGGAAGATCATGCATTTGCAAAACACGCTTATGCAGCAAACGAACGCACACGAAAAGTTCAAACATTCGAAATATTTTTGTATATACATTTTATGCGTGCATCCATCTTATAAAGAGAAAAGTGTCGAGATCGCGCTTATGAACGCTTGCGTTCAGGTAGCGTTGAGCTTAAAGATGCACGCGATCGGTGGTGTTTTCACTTGTGGTATGAGCCAAGCAAGGGCAAGAAGTATGGGTTTTCAACTTCTCTCGGAAATTCGTTACAGTTTGTGGCTCGTTAACGAACAAGTTGTATTCGATGATCCGGGAAGAGGAAATTATTCGGCTGCTTTCATGGGGAAGCCGATAAAATCAGAAGAGAATCCAAAACATCACAAATTATCAACCGTCGATACCGATACGAAATAAAAAAAAAAAAAGTTATTAAAAATAGGTCATTCACGCGTAAAATTTTGAATAACTCGTCGATGAAAATTCATATTCCCGTTCTTTTGTTTCGCATTAACGATAACTATTTTTTTATGTTTTTATTGCAAACAAAATATATAGGCTCGTAGATGTACCGCTCGATACATTTTTCTCGCACATCTTTTAAAACAATTTTAATTTAATAGTCTCCAACATTTTCGACGATATGATCAAGATTTTTGATGATAAATTTACGTCACAGATTTTGCCAACGATGTTAAAATCTTTTCTATATTTTGAAAAGAGAAAAGATCTACAATACCGATACATGACATATCCGTTTACATCGAACAACTATGAACGATGATTCCTAGATGGCGGTGACGGTAAACTCAAACACACTACTATCATTTTCCGAGAATTTCCCGAGAGTCCTCTTTGGACACCCTTTCTTCATTTACCCCCACCCTTGTGTTACTTTCGAATTCAGTACGAGGGATCGAGAGTTCACCCCACGTGAAGGGTGGCTTTGTGGAATGGAGTTTCACCCTATAGGATGGGGGGAAACCATAATGCCGCCCAGGCAAAGCCGCGCCATTTTGTAAATCAAAGGACCAAAGGGACACGGTGAAAATTCTCGAATTTCCGGAACATTTTCACTACCGTCTTTTATCCTTTTAAACGTTAAACTAATTTAAATTCGTTATAAAAATCGGTTAAAAAATTCAGCTTAATTAACACTACGTTGGAGAAAAAAATCAAAATTCTTTCGTATACTTTTGAGAAATCGTGTTATTTCGTTACGATCTATCATTTTTTATAAAATTCACGTACAAAAACAATTTTTACTTTTATTTCCAAAAAATTCTTCCAAAAATAATTTTATTAAAGAATGACCATGAAAAAAAGTTTAAAAACTCGTCGGTATATTCATATTTAATTTTTCCAATTAAAGCATATATTGTTTTATACTTTTTTATATGTATTCTCTGATATTTTAATGTTTTAATATTAATATATATATTCAATAATTAATTTTATAAATATATATTGAAATTTTTATTGTTGTATAAAATGAGAATAAGAATAAAAAATTTTTAACTTTTTTAAAGAATATGCATTGTTACTAAAAGTTTATTATTTTAATTTATGTTTTTAAAAGAAGAAATGCAGATTTGTAGTAAAGAGCTGTAAATAACAAAGAAAAAAAAAAATATTGTTTTCAGTGAAATCACGAAATAAACGATTTCGGTTTCTGACGAAATATTTATCTTCCTATTTTCAGACGCGCTTATCTAACTATTCTTCGCTATTATACGAATATTTTGTAGCAGATCGCTTACATAATTACGAAGCTTCGATTTACCATTATCATCCACTTTTACAGTGTTTTCTTATCATTAACATTACAATCTTGCTTTATCTGAAATGAAATTATAACTGAATCTATCGAACCAATTTCTCATGCTTCTTTTTTTCGTTCAGAATCTTTATAAAATAATAGAAACTCGTAATATAAAAATGCAAAAATATATAATACAAATCTATTAAAAACGAGTTTAAAATATAAAGAAAGAAACACGATTAACAAATAATCAAAACCTATATTTCAAGACTATATTTTAATATAGATACGATACACACGTACGTCTAATATTTATCTTCCAATAATTTAAAATTAATTAAATGCAAACGTAATTAAACACAACGTAATAATTTTATAGTTTTACCAAGTATTTATATATAATCAAACAATTGTAAATTGTATTATTCATACTTCTTCGTCCCATCCAGTGGCGCCGTCTACAGTTCGCAACTTTGCGGATCGTGGTTTCGCTACCGCCATTTTCTTTAGTCATACTATTAATCCTTTTCAAAATTTTGTATATCTGAATCAAGCATAAATATCCTATAATTTTGTATTTCATCAATCATATATCTTTTAATTTAAAATTATCTATTCGCGTGAATTTGCAATTAAAATTTTTAATTCGTTTAAAAAAAATTCATCATTTTTACAAATTTGTTAATACAATTTAAATTCAATCAGGCTAAAATATATATTCGATATAGAGAAATTTTTAACGAAATATTGATACTATCTATTTTTTATACATATAAAATAGAATTTTGCAAATATATAAATATTTCTCGAAGTTGTAAAAATAATCACTTTACTCTTCAGTTCAAAATATTTCAAAAGATTTAACGAATAATCCTTAAATTAATACTTTACTATCGTGTTTCATTATTTTTTGATAGAAGAATAGAAAGAAATAAAGATCATAAGTTTTGAAATGAAGAAAGAAAAGAAGCAGATTAGAATTTCTGTTATTAAATAAATTTAAGATATATAAAATATTATTTATTCTCTAAATCCTATAATTATATACATTTTTACAATTTCGTTATATTCGTGAATAATTGCTAAATATTTTATTCGACTTATTAAAAAATTCCAAAGAGAATCTCACACTTCAATTCGAAGAAAGAATATGATTCCATCGACAATGAAGGTTAACTAAGGGCCCGTAGCCTTCAGTTATTAAGACTCGTTTAAGTAACACTCTAAAACTTCTTCGTTGAAACTTTTTCCAATCACCCATAGACAGCAGACTTGTCTAGAAAATAAAACTGTCCGATATCGTGTCTCGCGTAAAATTCACACAAAATTGATACTTTATAAAAGTTTTCAAACGAAACCGATAAAATTAATGGTTATACGAATTTTAAAAATATAAAATTAAAATATAACGTAAAATAACAAATGATATAATTGCCATAAGAGACAAACAAAATTAACGGTTATATTTTTTTTATATTCTAAAATTTCCCTCGTCTCTGATCTGTCCTATTTCTCAAAAGAAGCCAGTTTAAAGAAAAAATAAGAATTTTTAAAAAAAGGATGTTTTATGAAATAAACTTGAATCCCCATTTTCATATTTACGTCCATTTTAGATTTCACGTCGCGTAACATTTTTCCTTCTTCTTTTCCTGGCTGAAAAATGTCAGCCTCTCTTCCATCAATAGGAAAGCAGTTCTTTCGCTTTTAAGTCTATCCCACAACGTCTACGTTTTCGTTCTTACTTCGAATCAGTCCTTCTTTAGCGCTTTGAAGAAGCAAACGCGTAAAAATTGGTCTGAACCTACAAAGGCAACTCGAGGCGTTGCCACTGGCAACCGATAAAATTGTAGAAGACCCTCTTGATCCCTTTTCGAAGAAACTTTGCTCGAATTTTTGCCGATCGTACGAATTATTCCTCGTCTTCGACGAGCTTATTAGAAGAAATCGTGAAATCAAAAATATAAATTTAACATCAAACCTTCTTCTGCTGGGCACGTCTCGTAAATCGTTTTTTTAACCGCGAGGATCCAAAAGGTTTCGAATTAAATTTTCAATTTCTTCTTCTTTTTTTTGAACAGCGAATGCTCAATTTTGAGAATGATCACAATAAAAAAAGAAACTTTAGATTTAGATAGAGAGGAAATGATGAATTTATGGATAGTGGAAAATTATTTACAGAATTTTATATAAGATGATAAAAGAAAAACAATTGGTTGAATCGAACAACAGCTACGCGTAATTTCTTCTCTCAAAATTATAATATATGTTATAATTTATAGCCTGTAATTAATATCTCGAATAACTTTGTCCAAAATATAAATAAAATATGATGGACGTAAACGTAGCAGTTTGCTGCAAAACGAGATAAAGAAGGTCGCAAACTGCAATGGAAATAAAATCCATTGTTCGTGGCCGCTTTTGAGAGACATGAGCCACGATTTCCGGGAGCGAAAAGGAGGGGGGGCAACGACCCTTCGCATTGGGTCGAGAAAATATAAGCGAGGTCGATATTGAGAACACGAGAAAAGAGGGGAACGACCCCCAAAAAGCCCTAATGCGCTCCATGAGTTTTCCAGGAGGCACGCCGCCATGGAAATCGTGAACGTCGATACGTTGAAGAATTAAAATAACCGTTCCCATAAATCTCTTATTTCCATCCACAATTTTTTTCCCCGGAAACTTATCTTGATTTGATTAAAAAAAAAAAAAAAAAAACTACGCATACTTCACCTATTCTCTTTTTCTTTTCAGCTAAATAAAAATTCACTTTATAAAATCCTCAATCACAAATCTCATGAATTAAATAAACAATAAAAATTTATTATTATTATTTATATATATATATATATATATATATATATATATATAT